GAGGAGAGATTCCCGACAACCCCGAGGACAGATTCCCGACAACCCGAACCCGGACCCCCAGGATTCCCGACAACCCGGACCCCGAGGACAGATTCCCGACAACCCGAGCCCCCCGAGGACAGATTCCCGACAACCCCGACCCCGAGGACAGATTCCCGACAACCCGGACCCCCGAGGACCCCAGATTCCCGACAAACCGGACCCCGAGGACGCATTCCCGACAACCCGGAGCCCGAGGACAGATTCCGACAACCCCGAGGACAGATTCCCGACAACCCGGACCCGAGGACGCATTCCCGACAACGACCCCGAGGACAGATTCCCGACAACCCGGACCCCGAGGACAGATTCCCGAGGACAGATTCCCCAACGACCCCGAGGACAGATTCCCAACGACCCCCCCAACCCTGAGGACAGATTCCCGACAACCCCGAGGACAGATTCCCGACAACCCCAACCCTGAGGACGCATTCCCGACAACACGGACCCGCGAGGACACATTCCCGACAACCCCGAGGACAGATTCTCGACAACCCGACAACCCCGAGGACCCCGAGGACAGATTCCCGACAACCCCAACCCGAGGACGCATTCCCGACGAACACAGATTCCCGACAACCCGACCGCGAGGACAGATTCCCAACAACCCTGAGGACAGATTCCCGACGACCCGACGAGGACAGATTCTCGACAACCCCCCGAGGACGATTCCCGACACCCCGAACAGATTCCCGACAACCCCGACCCCAAGGACGCATTCAAGGACCATTCCCAACCCTGAGGACAGATTCCCGACAACCCTGACCCCAAGGACGCATTCCCGACAACCCCGACCCCCCGCATTCCCAACAACCCCGACCCCCAAGGACGCATTCCCGACCCGAACCCCGAGGACGCATTCCCGACAACCCAGACCCCAGGACACTGCGCCTTTCATACTCACCCCTATGGGGGGCACTCCAAGGCTTCCCCCACCTTCTGCTTTTCTTCTCTTAGACTATGTATATTTGAACACCCCTTTTTTTTGGTGGTGGTCAGGCCAATGCCTGGAGTTTTTGGGGGACCTCATCCCCTGTTCCATGATACCTTAACCCCTCCCCCCTTTCTTTTCAAACCCCCCCCCCCCCCACTCTGTTGGAGTGTACATATGATAATCCAACCTCTCTTCCTCGTCCTTTACCAATGACTCCTTCCTGTTGGAGAAGAACGCCGATCTCCACATGCCGGGCGCCATCTTTTGTTCCAGAATGTATGTGGGAATGGCAGTTAGATGGGCGTGGAACGCTCTGCCTTCTCCCCCGGAACTCTTCTATGGACACAAGGAGTCTTCCCTCTCCTCACCGTACACCAAGTTCCAGCTCTTTATAGAAAATTTCAAACTAGAAATGACGGAACATCAAAAACTGAACGTGCAAAACCGGCCCAATCCCACTCATCTGCGCCGGGACCCACCCATCTGCGCCGGGTCCCACCCAACCCCACCGGTAGTCCATGTGACCCTCACCTTGTAAGACAACCCATACGGTATAAGCAGCAATGAAAGGTGTATAGATAGAGGAGACATTATAAATATCGCTTTCCCCTCTTTAATAAGTGATCACAACCTCTGTTCTCAGCATACTGCTGGTCTTCCCAGTGAATGGCTATACAAGGGGGAGGGGATGTCAGGGAAAGTCTGGTACTGGTATAAAGGGTCATGTCCCTGGCCTGGATCTACAGGAAGGTGTGGAGATGGAAGATATGAAGGGTCATGTTCCTCGCCTGGATCTACGAGGTGAGGAGATGGAAGATATGTAGGGTCATGTCCCTGGCCTGGATCTACGGGAAGGCGAGGAGATGGAAGATATGAAGGGTCATGTCCCTGACCTGGATCTTTGGGAAGGTGAGGAGATGGAAGATATGTAGGGTCATGTCCCTGGCATGGATCTACGGGAATGCGAGGAGATGGAAGATATGAAGGGTCATGTCCCTGGATCTACGGGAAGGCGAGGAGATGGAAGATATGAAGGGTCATGTCCCTGGCCTGGATCTACGGGAAGGCGAGGAGATGGAAGGTATGAAGGGTCATGTCACTGGCCTGGATCTACGGGAAGACGAGGAGATGGAAGATATGTAGGGTCATGTCCCTGGCATGGATCTACGGGAATGCGAGGAGATGGAAGATATGAAGGGTCATGTCCCTGGCCTGGATCTACGGGAAGGCGAGGAGATGGAAGATATGAAGGGTCATGTCCCTGGCCTGGATCTACGGGAAGGCGAGGAGATGTGAAGATATGTAGGGTCATGTCCCTGGCCTGGATCTACGGGAAGGCGAGGAGATGGAAGATATGAAGGGTCATGTCCCTGGCCTGGATCTACGGGAAGGCGAGGAGATGGAAGGTATGAAGGGTCATGTCCCCCTGGATCTACGGGAAGGCGAGGCAGATGGAAGGTATGAAGGTTCATGTCCCTGGATCTACGGGAAGGCGAGCAGATGGAAGGTATGAAGGGTCATGTCCCTGGATCTACGGGAAGGCGAGGAGATGGAAGGTATGAAGGGTCATGTCCCTGGCCTGGATCTACGGGAAGGCGAGGAGATGGAAGATATGTAGGGTCATGTCCCTGGCCTGGATCTACGGGAAGGCGAGGAGATGGAAGATATGAAGGGTCATGTCCCTGGCCTGGATCTACGGGAAGGCGAGGAGATGGAAGATATGAAGGGTCATGTCCCTGGCCTGGATCTACGGGAAGGCGAGGAGATGTGAAGATATGTAGGGTCATGTCCCTGGCCTGGATCTACGGGAAGGCGAGGAGATGGAAGATATGTAGGGTCATGTCCCTGGCCTGGATCTACGGGAAGGCGAGGAGATGGAAGTATGAAGGGTCATGTCCCTGGCCTGGATCTACGGGAAGGCGAGGAGATGGAAGGTATGAAGGGTCATGTCCCTGGCCTGGATCTACGGGAAGGCGAGGAGATGGAAGGTATGAAGGGTCATGTCCCTGGCCTGGATCTACGGGAAGGCGAGGAGATGGAAGGTATGAAGGGTCATGTCCCTGGCCTGGATCTACGGGAAGGCGGGGAGATGGAAGATATGAAGGTTCATGTCCCTGGCCTGGATCTACGGGAAGGCGAGGAGATGGAAGGTATGAAGGGTCATGTCCCTGGCCTGGATCTACGGGAAGGCGAGGAGATGGAAGGTATGAAGGGTCATGTCCCTGGCCTGGATCGGGGGAAGGCGAGGAGATGGAAGTATGAAGGGTCATGTCCCTGGCCTGGATCTACGGGAAGGCGAGGAGATGGAAGGTATGAAGGGTCATGTCCCTGGCCTGGATCTACGGGAAGGCGAGGAGATGGAAGGTATGAAGGGTCATGTCCCTGGCCTGGATCTACGGGAAGGCGAGGAGATGGAAGGTATGAAGGGTCATGTCCCTGGCCTGGATCGGGAACGGGAAGGAAGAGGAGATGGAAGGATATGAAGGGTCATGTCCCTGGCCTGGATCTACGGGAAGGCGAGGAGATGGAAGGTATGAAGGGTCATGTCCCTGGCCTGGATCTACGGGAAGGCGAGGAGATGGAAGGTATGAAGGGTCATGTCCCTGGCCTGGATCGACAGGAAGGCGAGGAGATGGAAGGTATGAAGGGTCATGTCCCTGGCCTGGATCTACGGGAAGGCGAGGAGATGGAAGGTATGAAGGGTCATGTCCCTGGCCTGGATCTACGGGAAGGCGAGGAGATGGAAGGTATGAAGGGATCATGTCCCTGGCCTGGATCTACGGGAAGGCGAGGAGATGGAAGGTATGAAGGGTCATGTCCCTGGCCTGGATCTACGGGAAGGCGGGGAGATGGAAGATATGAAGGGTCATGTCCCTGGCCTGGATCTACGGGAAGGCGAGGAGATGGAAGGTATGAAGGGTCATGTCCCTGGCCTGGATCTACGGGAAGGCGAGGAGATGGAAGGTATGAAGGTTCATGTCCCTGGCCTGGATCTACGGGAAAGCGAGGAGATGGAAGGTATGAAGGGTCATGTCCCTGGCCTGGATCTACGGGAAGGCGAGGAGATGGAAGCTATGAAGGGTCATGTTCCTGGCCTGGATCTACGGGAAGGCGAGGAGATGGAAGGTATGAAGGGTCATGTCCCTGGCCTGGATCTACGGGAAGGCGAGGAGATGGAAGGTATGAAGGATCATGTCCCTGGCCTGGATCTACGGGAAGGCGAGGAGATGGAAGGTATGAAGGGTCATGTCCCTGGCCTGGATCTACGGGAAGGCGAGGAGATGGAAGGTATGAAGGGTCATGTCCCTGGCCTGGATCTACGGGAAGGGCGAGGAGATGGAAGGTATGTAGGGTCATGTCCCTGGCCTGGATCTACGGGAAGGTGAGGAGATGGAAGGTATGAAGGGTCACGTCCTGGCCTGGATCTATGGGGAAGGTGAGGAGATGGAAGGTATGAAGGGTCATGTCCCTGGCCGGTGGTTATATACGGGTGTTTAATGTTGTCAATGTCTGGACTCGACTTTCATAAACAGACACTTTTACGAA